AGTCGATATCTCGCTCAACGGTGCCAGAAAGTTATCAAATTAATCAGGCCAACTTCCAAGCTGGGATCTGATAGCGTTTCACCAATCACCATTAAACTAGGAGAGCCTGATATACCATTGCTACTGATAAGCACTTTTACTTTATCACTGAACTCTAGCCACTTTCTAGACCAATGCAAAACGTTATTTTTATGCCTCGGCAGAAAGGAGGTCCAAAAAACGATTGATAACTACCGACCAATCCACCGCATTCCATAATTCGCCACGCTATTTGAAAAACTGGTTTAACAGATGTTGAATTTTGTTGATCCTGTTGACCCGATCAATAATTTGCAACAAATTATTGTAACTAGTGTTCGTTCACCACCTGTCAACTACATTACCTTAACAACATTACAGAATCAGTAGCTTCCGGCTATGTGGTGTTCATTCAGTTTCTTGACATATACCAAGCAGTTGACCGAGTACCGCATAAGCGACTGTTACAAATGTTGGGGAACTTTGGGATGCGAGACCCATTACTAAGTTTGCTATTGTCACTCCTGAGTGCTCGTCATCAGTTATTCACTTTAGGTTGTTATTACTCTTCTCCACGTTCAATAGCTATTAGGGTCATTAAAGATAGGGTACTCAGTCCATGACTAATTTGCACTACATTAATGGCATCGCCACATTTGTAACACGAGGTACGCCGATTTTATTTGCTGACGATAACAAAATCGTCTATAAGCGTCGGCGTGACGAGCTTCATGAGATACTACTCCTCATTCAGAACGCGTTATAATCCCTTGAGTCACAGCTCTCCACCTTGATGATAAACCTCTCGGCTAAGAATTCAAGTATCACGTCTTACTGCTGCTGCATCCCCGAAGGGTCTATCACTCTAAACAATGAACTCGTCGCTACACGGCTCTCCAAACGATATCTTAGCATGAGGTACTCGTCTACCTTCTACTTCTCTGAACAGTCCAATTACCAAGTAACACATCCTTGACAGTTAAGTTCAATATATCAAAAAAATACCCACAACTCGTGCTTGAGCGGAGCGTTTCAAGCTGCTCACTCGCCCCATCCTCAAATACTGCAGCATAATGTAGGGCAGTATACAAAGGGTAACTGAATTGCTATAGAGCACCTGCAGAAGTAATTTACTAAACATCTGTTTGCTAAGCACTCCGCTTTGAGTTATCGAGAACGCTGCCATGAACTTCATCTCGAAGCAGTTTGGATTAACAATTGAAGCACAACTTGTTGCTGCTTTTCAACATGTCACTCTAAAAGACATATTCCGACATGTCTGCATAGGGTTTACAATATGTCTCAAATCGAGTGCTTCGCAACATAGTTTTATTTTGAATATACCGAAGGCTGGAACGTACGTCCGCTCTAGTTTCTTCCTGGTCAGATATTGCTCTCTGTGAAAGGGACTACCAATATCACTCAGGTCATGTGATAATATGGCAACCTTTATTTGCAGACTCGCCAATTATCTTGAGCTAAATACCATAATATTTTTATTCACATGGGAAAACAACCCCCCGAAGAGCTGTTCCAAGAGGAGCTCAAAAACATCTATACATTTATGTTTTCATAACTAGGCGTTAATCTTAACCATCCGTCAGAGTGTTATACATGAAACGCACATACCAAGGCTACTCCTATGCACCTTACCCGTGCAAGAGATTGGATACGACTGTACAAAGTTATATGTGCTTATAGAAACATAGTTTCGCTCATCAAGAGGATATACGTATTGTTATTATTATTAATATTATTATTATACGTCTCAAGAAGACTTGGTTCGTTATACATAATCAGGATGAAACGGTTAGTTTTGATAATCGTAATGCTGGCGTTTTACGGTGCACTGCCCACACTTACCAACTATCACCCTTCTGCAACGCCGTGACCAAACGATCAGTAAGGCGCAAATTGAAATTTTTCCTTACGAAAATATTTGAACTCCCACAATCTGTTGTCATAAGAAACATTTTCACATTGTTGTACCGCTTTCATGATTAAATTGATATATTTATCGTCTCAATGCACGGAAATATATCCGAATATTCTTTCCATGATTTCGGTATCGTGACTGACAGATCCCCAATTTGCAAAACGGTCTGTGCTAAATCTAGAAGGGTGCAAAATGTTAAAGGTGATGGTCAAACCTTTCTACGTACACATCTCGATTTTCAGCGATAAAAATTGTTTCCTCTGTCAAAAAGTCAGCTGGAGTCTGTCACGATGTCATGGTGAAAAGTGCTGCAATAAATGCTGATCTCATAATAATGCTAATAAAAGTAAGGCATATTTCTCGTGTTACCAAGAAACCGAACGCACACAGGGACGAATCCTATTTACATTGCATTTGAGGTTATCACTTGTTTGGTTTTTAAAAGTGTTGCAATAGAAATGTTTTTGTGAATATTTTCATTTGTGACTTTCGTCGCCGTCTGCTACAAGTTCGCTGGTGTTCTTATTCGGTTGTTTTCGGTGCTGCCTGGTGGTGCCATGATGGCGGCGGTTTGATGGAGGGATTGATTATGAAAAGAATGAAACAGTTTAATTTACCAATCAATACTTAAGCATATATATGGAGAAGTATTTGATTTTGGCACCCTTGTGGCGCATTGGAAGACCAGAGTGCGCAATGCTAATTTGTCCAGGGCGTTGAAATTTGCAGCCACAGGTAATGATGCCTCCCTGTTATCATGATCTCAAATGTGCCCAAATTTTTCCCTGTATGCTATCTTATTTTGGCACATTCGATACTGCAAATCGCACGATTGCACATGATTGCATGATTATACAATGCAGGAAGAACTCCTGTGGCCAAGCACTAACTTATACTTGGCAACGCGAAGCCATAGTAGAGAAAAACAAAATAAGTACACAATTGAGAGAACATAAAGGTCAAGTGTATTCTCCGCCGTGATGCTCTTGTTCTGTAAAATCACACATCTCGACTCTAGAAGATGAGCGAGAAGTGTCACTATAGCAATGGTTTAAATTAATCTTAGGTGTGAATCTTTCTATCACTCTCCATATCACAGCGTTTTGGTGGATTAAAGGGCGGAATAGCCGTTCCAAAATCGTAAATATCTACTTCGATAATTGTCAGCTATTTTCACTTAGTACAAAATTTCGATCCTTCAATGCATGTGGGTAAGGCACCTTTAGGTGTCCACAATGTCGTTCCGTTTTCGTAGTTTTGTTTCCACCACATTAGAAAGATTTTGTTGCTGCCATACTTTGTGTTAACAACTGGTAGTTTATAGCCATGTATGATCAGTTAGAGAATAAGTGACTAAGTAATTGTTGTGCTTCTTCTTTACTAAGGAAAATGAACCAAATATTTGAACATGGTTTTATTCTGACGCTGTTGATTGCCTTTTTGTCAGCCTAATTCACTGTTTGTTAGTGCCTTCAGACTATTGACATGCTGTTCAGTATGCTTGGCTAAATTACAATTAGCGTATTCGGTAGGGTCGCAACGTGAGTTGATTCAGTGTTTGTGTAAGCCCGATGCTTATGATGCATAAACACTGAAACAGAGATTTCGGAGTTATAGACCTAAAGGGAGTCCTTTGTACTAATTTCGTGTTGCATAACGAGCAGTCAAAATCAATTAGTTATGATCTTAGATCCGCGGTTTTGACAAACCAATGATAGATGTATGTGAACAATAGCCCATAAGGGTTAACGGTATTTTTTGATCACAGGTTAGCTGTACTATGGTAATTTACGCTAAAAATATGGCTAGGAAACATTTTACACACTTGGTTGGGAAGCATTTCTACTGTGATCTAACTGCAGATGACAAACAATGATAGCTTTTGACGTTCGGCAACTAATCCAAGTTTTATTCCTAACACTTTAATGAAAATGAAGTGAGTTAATTAATGGACAAATTAAAGGTGGTAGAAACAAATTTCAAGTATGTTCACCGGGTAATTTTTGCGCAGCGAAATATCTACACTATGCTCCTTATTAAAAGCCTGCAGCCTACCCGTGAAGAATTTCACACAACCCACAATTTTGCATACTGAACGCTTCAGTGTATGAGCAAGCAGATATATAACTGTAAAATTCCCTGGAAATAAAACCAAATATGTTATAAACATTATAAGCATCTGTAGATGAAATAAGATTTTTGCAGTTTCAGACAATAACGTTTAAAATGTCTGAATCGCTGCATTATTTAGCTCACAAACAGACGGCATTATCGGAAGTCTGACGTGTACCGATAAAAGGTAATTGCGCCCTGTCAAAGCGCATGAATTATATCCTGTCACGCCGGCCTTAAAATAGGATGCATACTAAACAAAAGAGATATTCTGCAATGAGTCAGTGTAAATAATGTTTATGGCACTAGTTATCAAACATACTAACATCGTCTATTAGCAAGCAAAAGTTAATACCATAAGGGTCTTTTGGAAACACCCCTTTTGTAAATGTACCATGATGGATTATCTAAAACAAAACAGCAAGTGATTCTAGTTAACCGTTCCGATCATACTTTGAGAGTTTAGGCAAGCGTTTTCAGCCTTTGCTCGATGGCTTAGATATATAGTGTTTTGCAGACAACCACTGGTACTGAGTTTGAGCCGTAGTCCGGATATCTCAGCTGATAGATGCAAACAAGCAAGACTCTAAATCCATGAGTCTTATTCCTATATACCCTATTGCTGTCACGTGGCGAACACAATATATAAGCTTTCTCTATCATGATAAATGAAATTTAACCAAAGGTCCTTTTATGAAGTTGTTCAAATTCTGTTCACGAGGACATTTTGCGCTGAGTAAAAATGACGTCCTTTTCTATTTATATCAGTTTTCCTACATTAGTCAGCAGGTAATATTCCATGGATCTGAAATGTGCCGCCGTAAGATAAATGGCATGCTCAGAAATCTTTCTTTGCTCAACTTCTTAACGGAAACCTTTTGTGTTGAGCACCGATTCATCGAAGCTGTAAGTGACAGCTCCAATTTCTCTTCAGCTGTTTTCTATCCAGGACGCGCACTGTCTGCAAATGAAATGCGACTTCCATACAAATTTCCAACTACTTCGAGCTGCCGTTTTAGAGTTACTAGCAACGCTGAAAGAATTGTCGACCAGGACTTCAGTTCCCCTCAATCATCCGACACAACTGGAGAGCTGATTTCTCCTACTTATCCAGGATTTCATCCAGATGGCTTATTTTGTCTTTATCAACTGGTCGGTACTCAAACACAAAGGATCAATATTGATGTGTTAGATGTGGACTTACCAACACAAGATTCAACGTAAGTATCTGTTACAAGCATCCCTCCTGCAGCACCATTTAGCCTGTTTTCAAAAACACTCACTTCATTGGCAGCATATCGAATAATTTTACCTATCACCACTTTCGTTTTATTCTTGTCTGTGAATTTCTATAATTACCCTACTAATATTTGTCCGCGGAGTCTGCCAAGTTCAACATTCTCGCAGACACGGGAAGGCACAGGGCAGCCGTTAGGTCATGTAGGTACTTGTTCGTTGAGCAACTCTCTCGGCTACAACAGGAACGGGAAACGTTAGAACGCCAGCAGTGTTTGTGACTAAGCCATGCGTGATGACGGTGGATCGTTATAACTTACAAAAACGTAGTTTAAGCATTGCAGTAGCAGACTATACTCTGTTGAGCCACGGCTTCCCCTAATTATTTATGCATGCCACGGCAACAAAAAACTGTACGTTGAGTGTTGCCGTAATATTTTTTCAGCTAAATATCGCAAAATACACTTGGAACCGACTTGCTTTCTACCCACTTACTTGCGCAATATTTGCAGTATGTCTAGATTAGAGGGTAACTCAAACAGCAGAACCAGCACTTGGCAGTTGGTAAGACTAATTTGTACTTTAAAGCACTGAGTTCCCTTTATCATTCTAAATAAGACAATAAGAAGACTGGTATTGCGAGATGGAACCATTTCGTGTTATCTGCTCACTCGCAAACTAACAACATATATATGAATCACGTGACAGAAAAATCGAAGATTTGAAACTGGTCACAAGGGAAAAATTACATAGACGCAAGAATGACAGATCAGCATCTTGATCTTAGGGTCATGAGCCCCAAGACAGCTTCAAGGGGACTGTTAATTGTTTTTGTACACACAGGATAGGGCGATGTCGGTTAAGTGCCAACGCTTTGGCAAACCTCAAAACTTTGGGGTTGTCATTTCGATAGATAACTGTAAATGTTGACCTAGGGTCAACTTGATGGTCTAATTCTAGTAGGTGTCTGGCGATTGATGAGGCCGGCAGCTTAGATATCTTTTCTCGTTCGGCTGCTTGTTGTGTGGATAGTTCTGCAATCCGTTTTGGGATATGCTCTCCAATGCGCTTACCCAAGGATCGATCTGTTCTGACAGTGTAACTACTACCGCAGTTACAAACGAATTAGTAAATACAATGGGTTGTGGCGGAGATCGGTTGAGTAGACTTCACTGGAGGCATAGGCAACTTCCTGGTCTCCCAAATGAGGCAGAATTTGGCGGCGTTGAATGTCCGACGAATCGCTGTATGCACACGACTTTCAAGTTGGGCGGCAAAGATATCACCTTTGAATGGTAATTGAAGCTGGACAGACAATTTGGGCACAGTAAGTACCTCGGCCTGTTTTCCTTCAGTTGACTGTGGAATCGAATAAATCTTCTGGATATCCGTTGGCTCGTAGCCTCTGTTTGATAAACAGCAATCCCGATTCCAAACAGTCGTCAGTGCATATTCTGCGGGCTCGATTAAACAGCGTCTTGACTAAGCACCGCTTGTATTGTATAGGGGCGAAGCTGTTGAGTTGTTCATACAATCCTGTCCATGTAACTATCCTGTGAACAGAACGCTTTATGTAGCCGTCTTCTCGTCTGGTTAACAACACATCCAAAAACGGAACGCAATTGTTAATGCGCATTGTTGGCTCCAGATATAAACACAACACAAAGCATTGAATTCAACGGCGCAAATCATTTCCTCCTTTAGTACAATGCTAGTGTAACTACAAATTTAGGTGACATATGGTAAGTCCCAAAATTCTGATCCCTCTACTATGTTAGTGCTGGACAAAAGGTTATTCCTTCGGGTGTGAGGTAAAGCGCACAAAATTGCCAATCGCCAACAGTAGCTATTGGTCTATCTCAAAATGCCTCACTCGGTCACGTGTGTGTGAAATACTGGCATGCATGCATCTGAGTACATATGTACTAGCCAGTCTCGTCCATCTTGAAAACGCTGGATTATACGCGGATGGTTGCGTTAGAGTCAACCTACGGCACGACACAAGGCAGCTTCACCGACTGATACATATCGTGTGTCTGGCTGCTTGGAAAGTAGACATGTGTGCAAAATCGACACAACAATGCCTTATTACACGACTAATGCTATAGATTGGTGGTGCCGCATCGACAAGCGTAATTGCCCTGAGTAAGGAGTTTGCATTAGATGCTTGGTGTTATTCCAGCTAATGATGTAAGGGCCATTTTCAGACAGACATTTACATTCCAACAACCTACCTTAGCGCAATAGGCATCACTTACAATTAGGCCACGCAAATCTGAAATGCGCAGTTTTGAGAAAGGAGTTTTGAAAAACCATGCCTCCGAAAGACTACTTTCTGCAGCCTAACCTATTATCCCGTGGCAGTATTGATCTCCGGAGCAGGAAAGAAGTGTGTTACGCTGCCCAATTTCATTTTAGGCAGGACCATGAGCATTCATTACATATTCACTTATGAATCAATATTCCCTTAGCACGAAACTGAGAAGCTGCATTTCTAGGCAATATATAATCTTCGCGGATACTGAGAATCACTTAGCGCACAAAGCGCGAAGAACATAGGCTTGAAAATACGAATGACAAATCGTGGGATTGGAAAGCGTGATAATGAAATTCAGTGTGATAATAGAATGTACCTTCTGTGGCTGCTAACTTGGCTTCTGTGCATCCAAATTTTATTTATCGATAATAATTGTTTCAGGGGTAGAAAATGCTGCCGCACACACTGTTACCTTATAACGATCCGATTTAAAGTCTTTTCTGATATATGATGTGCCACTGTGAGCCATAGATTATTCGGATTTTTTGTCACACGGAACATACGAATCGTTGTCGCTTGTTGTATTCTTATTGAATGGAAAATCCTCTACATAAGCGTCTCGTCACGAAGAGTAGCCTAGTACGACTGCGAAAAGAAAAGGTGTTGGTAGCAGCTAAGGAAAATATATACTCGAGCTCCCTTTTATAGATAACACTGCTTCAACGAGGGCAACCGAGCGCTTATTCAAAGCCACTCATAGAACCTACTGCGCTGCAAATGCTGTGGTGATCAACACAACCCGGGAATTGTCGATACTTTCCGTAAAGGAAGTGGAACCCATCAACGCCAAATCACGCTTTACGTACCAATTTGATTATAGCTGCGGCGTCAGGTAGATAGATAAGAGTGAAGAACCCCAGAGTGAAGAACACCTGATCAAATAGGTTCAACTTTTGGTCGGCCATTCCTTACCTGAAATTCCATGTGCACGCCAACCGACAGCATCATGGATAAGCAGTCAACATATTTGTTGACCCGTTGTCGGCTTGACCCCAGCCAGGCAGTTTGGAGAATACTTCATCCCAATCCACGCTTCGTGCGGTTCGCTGAGGCCATGACTACAAGTCAGCTAAAACCTGCGCTGTGTGTACAGAAACATGCGGTTGCTGACTTGCGGATACCCTGGTCTTAGGACGATTGCCGCCGTTCACTTCACTGCATTTGATTGGTTGGTAACACTCTTGGAAATATAACATAATTTCTCATTATTGAATTGGCACTAATGAGGCAATATGAAATACGCACATTTACCAGGGATCCTCTTCTCGTTGTGTTATTCAAACTACTGTAGGGGACATACTGTTTAAAAACGTAAATAGTTTATTTCTCGGCGCAGCGAGAGACTGTGATAGCGGAAGTACAGATCAATGCTAAGATTAATGTGTTTCCTGAGACAAGTTACACATGTAATTTTAGTGTCCCACTGAAGGAAATCGAACTTGGGCGTAATATGTGAACCGATAGTGTTCATCCGTTTACGCGTGAGCTACACTGTGCGGCCAAATTTAGCAACGCCTCATGTTCTAGTTGCATCGCTCGCGTATGTTCATCATGCCACAGTACGCGACCGCTATGCCACGTAAGGACAGGACATCAGGGCTTGTTGCACGTGTTTATTCAGTAGTGCAAGTGGTTAATAGCTGTTTTTTCTATTTAACCCATGCTTCAGTCTAGCGCTGGATCACGTGTCTGTCGCCAACGTGACAGTGCAGTTTATAGTGGTTAACACAGCGCTGTACGATCTTTCAGCGTCTGCGGCGTTTGGGACATGCAAGCATGACGTGCCGGCCGGATCGATCAACAAGCCACACTTCCAATGGCTGCATTGAGGTTTGTAGACCACAGAATGTCCCGCTTTGAACATGTGGAATGCAGGTAAAAAACAACCGGATGTTTATTGTACTTTGTGGAGAAAGATTGCATTTCGACCAGTTTGGTGGAAAAATTATGGTTACACGAAGTTGTAAGATGACTACCCAATTCATGACTACCCATTAATTAAGGTAACATGCGAAAACGATTCACATCTTTCGTGGGACAAATTCATATCCAAATGTTCTATGGCTCATAATGACACATCGCAATGAGGCTGGACCTTACCTTGGTGCGATGGTTTGCGTGCCTCAGAGATCCATTGAGCTATGCTGGGTGATGCTTTTGCACCTTCAGAGCCACTCATATCAGATTGGTCAATGGTTAGAGGCCAGACAAACTCAGCCTCCTGGTCCTCCAGGTTGGGGGTTGGAATGGGGGTGGCTCCTCATTTCATAAAACGGGCTCCTCAGTTCAGTGCCAAAACCCGCTGCCTTGCGGTAAGGTTTTTGAACCAAAGGCTTTGGTTGAGAACCCTAATTGTTTTCCTGTCTAGGCCTGGGCAACCTGACAGTATTCTGCCCACGCAATACAATGAAACTTTCCTACAACAATTTCTTGATGCTCTGGCCGTCGCAGAGGATAATCAACGGCGCCCTATCTGCTGCATCGAGCAGGGTGGATAGGGGTATGGATGCTACTGCTCAGGCCTTCCCGTCTTTTTATACCCCTTCTTGCGCTTCTTCATCATTATCGTCCCGCTCCAACTTTACTTATATCCCCCATTTTCAATCCCCCAATTCTTGGCCCTCCCCCAGCTTTCTTCAGTAGTCATTTGTCTTCTAATTTCAAATC